CTATTCGACTTTCATCGTCTCCTAGCTTTAGATGTAAAATACGCGAACTCTGCGAGAGTGAACGAGACCTCAGTTCGGCATCCCTCCTGCCCCCGCCCGCGAGTGCCATCGCTCGACGCGCCTCGTTTCAATTCGCTCTTTTTCATCAGTCTGCTTCAGGCATTACGGATAGCTGTACGTGTCGTTGTGTACTCGCTCTTATCCGACTTTTATTCGTGTTCTTTACGAAAAACTATCAGACATTTCAGCACCTAAGTGGTGGAAGCGCGTGGTCGCTATCTTAGTGACTGGATTTATAGTGTTGTTACAGTGAGAGTGGTGTGTGGCTCCTCGCACTGCGACCACTCCGTCCGGGGTCTGTCGGCGTCGTCCTCCGGCACTCGAGGTAAATACCGACTCTTGCGCGGTGCGAGAGCGATCGCATACGTGGAAGGAAACCGGATTGCGGTGTCGTGTCGTGCTTTCATAAAACCTACTAGCTATTAATACTAGGTGTTATAAAGTTGATATCAAACAGATTTCTAAGCCAACAGTGGTAGTTAGGTGAACGCAGCTCAAACGATATTCTTGTACCGTTAGCTGACGTTGCGTGTTCGGGATCGTCCATCGTTTCATGTTGTTGCAGCATACGCTTTTCAAGTAACATTAATTTTATATGCCCGCGTCGCTTATTAGAATACGGAAAACTCGTCCGTGTAGCATTCTTCAATGCCACTACTTATGTAGATAAAACGTACGTTACGTACGCGGAAGTAGCGTGAAACTTTATTGTTCCTTTATCATCGGACGTTGAACATCTGGTGAACGATGATAAAACGATAGGTTTATTACTTGGTATTGCTTTGAAAATAAGTTGATTTAGTAAGATCTTGTTGTAGGGAAATAATGAAGTGCGAATTATATTTATTTGAACCTAACAGTTATCATTAAAATTCGCTCGAGTGCGTCTTGATGGGCGTGGCAAGTGTCCAAGTGCCTCAAGGCCCGTGGGACTGGTTTTTAAATCGTGCACAGTGTGCACACTTGAGAAATTTCGACATAACCGAACCGAGGAGATTCATTGTACGCTTATGTTTTAAAATAAATGAAATAAGTAAAGTTTAAAAGTTTAGTGATCATTAATAAATCGATCCATAAAATTGTTAAATAATTGATTTAGTAATCAAGTCTGTTTCTTTTTATTACATGTGATATTGCAATGATGTAAATCTCTCTCTGTCAGTAAAATACTAAACGTAGGCATTACAAAATAATTTAACAATACATAATTAGGTAGGTATAGACAATTTAATTTAAACCTGGTCACATTGCGTGAAAGGTTACTTTCGATTTATTACTATTTTCGAATACATGCATTTTACTAACATAATGTTTGAAGTCTCGATCTTTAATATCTGTTTGAGTCAAATTCTTTCAATTTATTCGTTCCATATTTTGTTTTTACATTTTATACCGATTCGTAAATGGGTTTAAGATGTACCGACTCTTCTAAACATCTCTATCAACTATCTTACTGAATTCACTCCGTTTTTTACGTTTATACTTCTACCTGACACAAACCATTTACATTTTTCGTATCTATGTATACATATAATAAAACTAGGTTTTGCCCGCGACTCCGTTCGTGGCGTGGCGTGGCGTGAAATTAAAAAAAAAAACAAAAGTATGTAGCCCATGTGTTCTAGACTATCCTCTACTCGTATATCTATTCCAAATTACATCGAAATCCGTTCAGCCGTTTAGACTACAAACTCTTACAAACATCCATCCATCTAAACTCGTTAGTATGAAAGTATGAATTAGTATGATTGGAGTGTCTGTTTGTAATATCAGAAAAGATATTCCAAATTTCGGGAAGGTGGTGTATTTGCTTTGGTGATAACGAAAATCGCATTTAATTTTTTTTGTCTGTCCGCAAGCCGCGATTGTTCCGTGTAATTTCCGAAACGGTTGGGCCGATTTCGACCGGACTTTTACTGAAGGATAGCTGACAAAGACGGACATATAGGCTACTTTTTATCATAATACTTCGTGGGCGAAGTCGGTGGCAACAGTCAGTTTTTAAGATAAAATCTTATTTATCGATTTATTTTACGGCCATTTAGTTATGTAATTAATAATGTACAGAACATAAGTATTAGAGTATGGTTTATAGCTTTCACAACATTTCATCTATATTTAGCGATGCGATGCGTGGTGTCGGTGACGGGGTGCGGAGCGGGGGGCGCGGGCGGTGCGGGGGTGCGGGGTTCACAAGTAGGTCGCCGTGCTAGTGTGTTGCGTTCGCGTTGTAGAGACGCAGAGACGTATCATATACCTGCGCCTACGACTCTCTTTGCCACAATGTTTGACAGCTAAATTCTTGATAACAGATTAATCTCACATTTAAACATTTTTCTGCAAGTATTAAACTTATTATAAAGTGTTTTGGTGAATAGCATTTCTGTGGATTTTTGTGTGTTTGAGTTTTCTGATGATTTAAATTTGGAATCAGACCTAGTTGGCGATGTGATCGGGTTCAGATGTCAGCAGAACTATTTCAATGAACTGAAAACATACAAGATATCTTTTCTGGATCTGCTAGTGTAAATATAATTTGTTTTTTACCTTTATTGAATAATCTCCTACATTCGTATTTGAAAACACTACTTAATATTGTGGATTTTATTTGATACAAAACGAAATAAATCGCGGTTTCACAGCTGTTGCGGTTACAAGAAATGATAACAAAATAATGCTTAGGCTTTTATACCTGCTTATTAAATGTAGGGTAGGTACGTGACCTAAAGCACTATATTGAAGTGTGGAATGATATTTTACATCAGTGTGCATTTCGTCGATACCACCAGCTTTATTTCGAAGAATCTCAGAATAAAAATCGGGTCAGGCACCCAAAATGAATTAATGAGCGGAAGATTTTCTGAATCATACTTGTATTAAGATTTTCTTTGATTTCATCGCGATTTTAATTTCAAAAACTTAAGTATGGCAAAGTACGTGGGAAGATGACAAGAGAAAACAATGTAACAACGTTATGATCATGTTTGATTCAGTGTTTATGATTTGTAAAGGGACTATGAGATCTTAAGTCTTTTCGCTAAATTACAATCATAGTTTTATCGTTCCACCACTAGGGTGCGCTATTAATCGCAATGGGTCTTGTTTAGAATGTGTGAAATATTACGAAGAGAGGGTGACGGTAGTGAACGACCGAAATATGACGTGAAAGATAATTTCCCTCGACTGGAGCGATGTCGTCAGCTGATAGCCGGGGTCGGTGGCCGCGACTTTGTCTCCATGTCGCAGTTATCTCGCCGACGCGAGGTCGAAGGGTTATCGGACTAGTTTTTTATTAATCCTTTTAGTAATTCGATAAACTAAAACGGACCAGATATTTTTTTATCAGAAAATAATTTATGCATCCATTTAGATTGGATATTGAATATAACCTTTCAATATGCGATAAGCGCGATGTAAAATGCTCTAATATATGATCCGAGTTCTTGTGAGTATTTATAAAGATGACGCCATTTCGCTAACTGCAATTATATTTTTATTGTTTTCTGTTATACATTTCTTATTAACAATAACAGTATAAAGTTAGCACATTTTTTAACCCGGATGTATATTAAAATCGAAGGTGTTTGTTTAAATATAAACACGAAATGAAAAACTATGCATGTCCTTATAGCAAAAGATATAAAATCTAATCTGTGATGACGTCGCCATGTTTTATCAAGCAGGCAATGACCGCGTAGATTCAGCCACATGCACAAAGTCATTCGCGAAGTGCTGTCACCTTCAATTTAATTATCTGTACACGTATTTGGCGAAACAAAAGGATCGCTTCGATGTATGTATACAACACGATACTTTTAAGAAGGCACGTTTTGTATTAATTTACTCAAGGTATAAATATTTTAGAATATTAATGTTGTTTGTTTTAGATACGGTGTTGCCAATCAAAGTGAGCGCAAAAACATCCATATAATTTACCCTATATTTTATCATGATCCAAGCAATGTTTAACAATATGTTTGCATATACTAATAAATACATAACTGTGGTTTAAAACAGAATAACATATTATTTATTCTATAGATGGAATTATATTTGTTTCGATAATAACCGCAATAAATTAAAGTGTCACATTTCATATTTACTATTATTGGTTGCAAATATTAAATATTATTTTTTTATAATACCTTGTAGTCAAGGTTATATCAAAGGCCAATAACCTGGGAACTTGATTGTAATCAATTAAAAAGCAATAGTGATCGTTGTAGAAGGAAACTTTATAGTGTCGCTGCATCCGCTATTGTCAAGTGACGTCACATCCTTGCCAATTTAACTACACTACAAGGTTAGATCCTCTAGCAATGTGCGCGATTTTAATAAATATTTTATAGAAGATATTTAGATTACGTAAATTACACTTCAAGATTAGAATAATGCATACAATAGTCCGTTATTTTGGGAGTAAGAAATGATTAGGAAATATTAAAGAAACCATAAATAAGGCGACTCTACAACATTCTCTACTAAAAACCAGGATTTATCTCAACAGCGAGTTGTCTATCGCAGCGGAATAGTTATGAAACGTTAAATTTAGTCTCAGACCACACAACATCGATAATTAACGTATTAAAACCATCGAATTACTTCGATTTGATGAAGAAGTATCGATATTTGAGTAGCCGTTGCCCGTCTCTACAGTAATTGGCAAAGATTGCCACACACAGAGCTATGATTTATAATTGAATGTTCCTTATCCATAAGAAAATCTTTAGATGTAATATGATTAAAATGTCTTCAACAATTCTTATCCAAAGTAGACATGTTTTAGTTTCTTCTCAAAGAGTTAATTATTTATCAGTTTATTTAATTTGTTTAAAACACAATTTTTAAAAATAAAATGGCGACACTTATAATTAAGAATGTTTTTGGCTGTTATATTTCACTAAAGTTTAAACAACTAACGTTTCAAAAATCATTTGTTCTTTAAGGTCTTAATATTGTGAAACTTATTGGTATTTCTGGGCCTGTTTTATGTTTTGCTAGTTAATGCAATGTTTATGAGAATACATAAACTAAAATTAAATTGGCGTATTACGTCAACACGGTAGAGAGAGTCTTGTTATGTTATGTCTACAGGCTCGACTCGCAAATTGCTAAATGATATTTATTGAATTGTTTATTGTTTTGTTTGTGTTAATTATACTCTGCACGTGTACGTTCACTTTTGTTGATTGCAAAAATGCGTCATTAATTGGATCGTTTACGTTCAGATATTAATTAAATATTGTTTCGACTGTCCTTATATTGACATAATTGTTGTCTCTGTTTTATCAAAGAGAATTTAAGGGATGTCAATATGTGCTTATACAAATTAATGCATCAAGCTACGTCTTATGTTATGAAGTAGTCTCAAATGTGAAGTTATCCCTTCAACAATACATTAGTTCGGATGATTTCGTCTTAGGTTTCGTTGCCACTCTTCATGAGGCACATTTCTTTTTTTTTCATATAGGCAGATATGACGTCGTTATCGAATCTTGAATGCCTTCATATAAATTGCAACTCTCGCTAGCCCCAGTTCCTAGACTGGACTCCCGACCTTTAGTGCTACGTATAAATAAATTTGATGTATCGATCCTTTCCGTTTCATCTGGTTGTTCTCGTATACCTAAATTATTTACACTGTATTCTTATTAGAATAAATTTATTACTATTATGTTGGAGTCAAGTCATGCTGAACTATAAATTAACTACCCTATTTTTTATTACAGTGAGCATTGCGTAGTTTTTGAGTTTATCGCGAAAAAACACGAACTAATTGATTTTGTTAATCCACGTTCAAATTTTAAAATAAGATTAATATACAAAACGAAAAGTGGTTGGGTCTTATTCTATTTTTGATTATTTAATAATTGACCACGTATTTATAAATAATGTAAAAAACTTGCCTAGCACTACTCATCAAAAACGAATCAGGAAACTATAATAATCTTTACGTAATTTATTATAAATAATTGATACCTCTTAGATTAATTCATTATTCAAGATAACGATAAAGGTTATAAGGAAGTAGATTTAAACTTAGTTGCTTAAAAAACTTAATTATCTTCAAGTTTGTAAAGAAGCGAATTTAAGAACATTTCGTAACGGCTTCCGGATACGTCCGAGAAACCGGCCAACTGACCTCAATTGTTACCCGCCAATGTCACTAGTACACAATTTGAATTTCGAATAGTTAGCTTTTAGATGGCAACAATTATTGACATTGAAATACATTTTGCAATTTTAATTGGTAACTTTAGAATTCAGCAACTAAAGCGATATTTTTTTACAGACTTAAGCTTCAGTTGTGAAATTGAAATAAGGATTGTAGAAAAAAAAACTTGGTAAAATCGAGTTTCATACAATTTAATAGGAAAGGTTTTTCCTACATTTAAGCCCAGTAGAAGGAAAACAACAATATAATAGAATATGCAACTTGTACAGATCAAAAAAAGGTCCTTGAATTAATAATTTGTTTATATTTGCCTCAGCAAGACTTCTTTACATTTTACATACTGTTCTGTACCATGCTTCAAATTTGTCTATCATGGTGACATAACGATATTATAATGGTAAAAATCATAATATTAATGAAGGTACAAATATCTTACTTAACAAATCTAAACATTTACATTACACCTTGTATTCGAGTACAGGCTGAGGAATTTACGTTGTGTAAGCTTCGCATCATGCCGGTTCAGTTTGAACGCATACTAAATAAAGAAACGAAAGTAATACCAAGCCAGTAACTAAGTTACATATGTGGTAGTTATGTGGAGGTGCGGATTGCGCATTTAGATATACCGAATAAACGGTATGCGATCGGCCAACGAGCCACCGTCCACTTTCACCGTCCGCCATCTTGGCAGCGGCCATGTCGTGCGCGCCGTTTGCCGCGCTTATTGACGAATTGGCGCGCCTATTGTTGCGCCTCGGCATCGGAGCGTGTGACGTCACTAGGTAACCAATCGCCGCAAGACAATGTTTAGTCACATTAGAAACAAATAATTTGCTTCAAATATAAACATCTTTGTACAATGACAAACAAAACATCGACAACATGCAGAACAGGGAATACAATTTTCATGCCAGATTAATTAGTGTTATGCCTGGTTCACAGTT